GTCTGTGTGGCGTAATTGGTCAGTGTATTTGGCTGTTAACCGAAAGGATAGTCGTTTGAGCCCAACCAGGGATGAAATTGTTTGTTCTTGTCTGACTGGTGCATGATGGCTGATGTTACATGGGTACCACAGTATGAATATATCAGTGAGACCTCTAAATCAAAAGCTGCTTTTTGAAAAATCTTAATGCTGTGGATCAGTAAGGTTTTATATTTAAACCACACTTCTGTGTAGAACACACAGTAAAATGCTGTCTTATCTTGTCCTGTCCATTACATGCATGCTTGCCGTGTGGCAGCTCTGTTCCGCCTGGCTGAAAGCTGCAGTGGACGGCAGGGCAGGGAGAGTGGCACTGTGACCCGGAGTGGCCTGAGGACACTGCTCGATCACTTGAGCCAGGTAAGACAGAGCTAGTGAGGGGAGAGAGAGGCTTTACAGACCTGTTGATGGGCGGAGCAACAAAGTGCTGTTGAGCATGAACATTGGCTCTCTACAGCACAACGCTGTAATTGGTTCAAATCTGTGATTGATTGACTCTGTGTGATCACTCCACCCATGTTGGGGTTCATAAAACCTCACTATTCCATTACCTGAGCACAGGCAGCTAGTTCGTACAGGTAATTGACAGACAGAGAGAGGTAGTAGGTGTTCCATTACTTGAGAGAGGACAGACGGATAGCAAGGACAGAGAGTGAGGTAGCAGGTAGGTGTTCCATCATTTGAGGGAGTGGACAGGTAGCCGTGAGAGGCAGTTTAGAGAGAGAGGTAGCAGATAGGTGTCAGAGAATAGACAGGTCGCATATGGCCGGATGTGCGATGTGACTCAGCTGTCTGTGCTTCTGCAGGTACCTGCAGTGGTCCAGGAGAGTCACGTGTTTGGCCAGGTGGAGAGCGCTGTGAGAACCTGCTTTCAGGGGGTAGGTCCCTCCCCTAAACCCAAACCAAACCCCTGCAGGGGTACCCACACTCCTCTGCAACCCACAGGTGCCTGTGTCCTGGTATGAGAAAGGTAACAGGTGTGTGTCGCTCTCCCAGGTGCTCAGTGCAGGCGTGTCAGAGCAGCACTTCATCAGCTGGCTGCAGTCGGAGCCACGGCTGCTGCTCTGGCTGTCCACCCTCTACAGGATCTCGGCCAGCGAAGCTGTGGTCCACCGGGTCCGCTGCCACGTCTGCAAGGCCTTCCCCATCACTGGTCTCAGGTCAGTATGTGTGCACACGTGTGTGTGTGGGTGTGTCAATGGGTGAGTCAATGAGATATGAAATGGGTGACTGAACAAAAAACTGAGAAGGGAGTGTTTTGGGGGTGGTGAGTGTAATGTCTGAAGTGCTCCAGGAAACCCCACAGCGCCTTCCTCTCTCCAGGTATCGCTGCCTCAAGTGCCTGAACCTGCACCTGTGCCAGACGTGCTTCCTGACCCAGAGGCGCAGCAGGAAGCACAAGCCATCCCACCCGGTGATGGAGCACTGCACCCAGGTATGTGCGTGCACACACACACACATACACACCCACACACACACAGGACTCACACTTTCACATGAAGCCAGAATTTCCCAACTATAGCAACAGTAAAAAAGTCCATTCTCTTTGGAGAACAATAGCACTAGCAGCCTAATAACTGGCTGCCTGTAACTAAAGACAAGTCTCTGATATGTAAATATAGAAGTGTGCTTTCTGTATCTGGCAGTGCAAAGGTGTTATTAATTAAGGCCATGAAAACAGGGTTGTGTGTTACAAGGGAGGTGGTAACACAGATGTGTCTGAGAAGGTAACAGGAGTGGGTATTGCGTATGAGGGGGTAACAGGGTTGTGTGTTGTTTGTGAGGGAGTAACATGGTTGTGTGTTGTGTGTGAGGGAGTAACAAGCTTGTGTAATGTGTGTGAGGGTAACAGGGTTGCGTATTGTGTGTGAGGGAGTAACAGGGTTGTGTGTTGTGTGTGAGGGAGTAACAAGGTTGTGTAATGTGTGTGAGGGTAACAGGGTTGTGTGTTGTGTGTGAGGGTAACAGGGTTGCGTGTTGTGTGTGAGGGGTTAACGCTTGTGTGCTGCGTGTGAGGGGGTAACAGGGCCGTGTGTTGCGTGGGAGGAAGGAGATCAGCGTGTTTTGCTGTTCCCTAGCCATCGTTCAGAGAGTCGCTGGCATCGTTTGCACACAGCGCAAGACACAACCTGCTGAGGAGGCGCTTCGCCAGGAGGGAGGCGGAGAGGAGGAGCGCTCTCTGCGCAGAGATGCCTGCTGGAACCCTGCACAGGTGTGTGTGTGTGAGTGTGTGTGTGTTTGGGGGGTGTGACTAGGCTTGGTAACACAGTGGCACAGCATCCAGGGAAGTGGGCGGGGGCCTAACACTCAGCCAAAGCCCAGCTTGAGAACTTGAGCTCGGCTGAGTCTTCTGCATCACACCACTCTAAGCACTCTGCAGCTGTGAGTTGCTTGGATGACGTCAGGGGACTTGTGCCTATTCACTGTAGTGGACGTTTTGTGTGAAAAATAGCTGGACTGGTGCACAGGTGTATTGGAGGATTGCATTGGCCTCACCCTGCACTACTGCTCACTTGTTGAGGTCAGAAGGAGGATCATGTCCAGTGTCCCAGGACAATTGTTATGTTATCAGAGTGGGTTGTTAGGACTAGAATGAGAAATAGGAAGAAAATGCATACATTTTCACAAAAGGTTAACATAATACCAGCCTTTTTTTAATAAGACTTGTGAGTGTCATTCAAAGAGTGTCTTTTTCTGTTAGGCTTTCTGGCGACCCAGCACCAATGCTGCTGTCACAGGCCACGCCTCCTCAGACACAGACCACACCCCTCCAGACAAAAACCTCACCCCGTCAGACACAGGCCACGCCTTCTCAGGTCACATCAGAATCCAAGGCCACGCCCTCATCGCCGAGGCTGAAGTCTAAGGCCTTGCAAACGGGCAGAACACTACAGTCCCAGGTTAGTCTGACTGAAGCCTTAACACCTGCAGCTTCTCTCAGCAGATTCACAGAACAGAGCAAAGCTGCCCAGCGCTGAGATACTTCATATGCCTTTTGTTTGTCCTTCAGAGGAAAACGTCACTTCTCAAGAAAGACCTGACTCAGACGCAAACGCTCATGAGGGATCTGCAGAGAGACAAGTGGTGAGTATGGGTCCTACCAGTGTGTCCTCTGAAAGATCTGCCTGTGAGTTCTGTCTCCTGAGATTGATAAAGAGGGGCAAATACTGTGAGTCACTCTGTGTGTGTGTGTGTGTGTGTGTGTGTGTGTGTGTTTAATTGAGTTTAGGACAGAGACTGGAAAGGAGGGCACTCGAGTGTGTTTGTGTGTGCATGTGTGTGTGTGTAATATGTACGATTCAGGTGTGACTGGTGTGGCGTAATAACTCACCTAAGTATATGTACTCAGGACATGTGTGGGACTGACTTGTGAATGTCATGACCCACAGGCAGCTGGAGAAGCAGTTCCAGGTGTGGAGATCTGCGGCCCAATCAGAGCATTCATCACTGGAGAACAAGTGCTGCCAGCTGGAGGCCACGATTGAGGTCCTGAGCCAGCACAACCAGAACCTGCAGGAGGAGCTGGGCCGGGCGCGGCAGCTGATGCAGGTAAGGACATCAACCCAGTACCCAACCATCACATCAGCCATCACGCAGAGGAAAGCTGGGCTCTTAGGCCTGGGGACAGGCTACAGTCATTGAATGGATAATGACTTTGCAGCATTTGGCTGTCATTTAGATGTGCCCTGTAATGAAATATCCCATGTTTACTGTGGGTGACAGAGTGACATAGGGGTTATTTACAGTGCATGACAGAGAGACGCAGAGGTTAAAAGGTTGCAAGTTTTATTGCCTGGAGGGCTACTGCCCCCGTATCCTTGAGCGAGGTTTATAATCTCAATTGCTTTAGTAAATATCCAGTCTCTTTAAAAATGGGTGAAATTATATTATATTATATTATATTATATTATATTATATTATATTATATTATATTACGAGGGCAATGTTTAAGCTGCCCTGGATAAGTACATCTGGCATATAGTCTTATTCATGTTTTGTTGTTTCATTATTAATCTGTCACCACTTTCTCAGTGTACTCTTCAAGATGTCCCCCATTCACCAGCTTTGATTGAGAAAGAGAATGACGGGGATGCCAGTGACACCGAAACCTCAGAGCCTCAGAGGGAGGAAGTGGTCGATGGCTGCCAGCAGGGGGAATCCCCTCTGGAGGAGCGGAGGAAGTCAGCACCCGCAGGGGTGAGTCAGGAGGAGGTGACACCACCAACACCAAAGCACCGGGAGCTGGGAACACAGACCTCCAGGAACTGTGAGAATGTGGACAGCGGAGCTATAGTGCCAGGACAGCGCCCCCTGGTGGCCTCAGAACCCCAGCACAGGTCAGGGCATGAGCACAGCCCCTATGTGGGGGTGAAGGAGGCGGCGCCACATCAAGGCAGGTTGCTCAAACAGGAGAAGCATGATGGGAAGGGCCACCTGGACCAATCGGAAATATTTGTGGAGGAGGAGGAGCAACTGTTTGACTTGGTGCAGCGGCTGAAGAATGCTCTTTCCGTCTATAGACACACAGGTGTGTGTGTGTGTCTGTCTGTCTGTCTGTGTGTTCATACAGCAAAGGATCACATAGACATGAATTTATTACAAGCAAGCAGATGTATATGTTGCGCTTGTCCAGATAGATGATTTGCTTGTCTTGTGTATGTTCTGACCATTGTCAACTGTATACCTCTGCACTGTAGATTTGTATCCATTATAAATTAGCCTTTACATTGATATGCATATTCTGAGTGTAGCATTAAAAAATCACTTAAAGGAACCTGAAGTGATTTTGAAATAAGAATTTTCAATTTTTTTAAATTGTTGGTTCTCAAAGCTGGGCTCACAAATTGTACATTTGTCAGGGCACCATTAATGATGATGGTTAGGTTTATAACATGGGTGAGGACTAGTTAAAGGTGGTGGGTGTTGTTGTAAGTGATGGAGGAGCCCGAGGGAGAGCGGTAAGATCAGAGACCCTAAGGTCAGCTCCAGCAGGCCACAGGCACTGTAGGTGTGTGGTGGGAACAGAGGAGGCTTT